CAAAAAGGCACTGTCCTGTCTGCTGAACCACCGGACTCAGATGGTTTGGAGAACCTGAAGCAGGGCTTCAGGTGTCAAACCAAGAATATGGAAAAACACATATGGGAGAGGCAGGACTTTAGGTCTTTCCATCCGAAATTGTTTAGGGCTTATTATAGGACAGGAGCCTACTCTCAGTCCATGGTCCCTAAGTCAGTGGAATGATTCCAGATTTAGAGAAGAAGGGAATGACTTCACAGTGAAGATATAAAGTCCTCTGGTGAAAGAATTTCGTGAAGCAAAGCACAGAAACTCCTTGAATAGACGTAGCTTTTGGATTTGTGAAGGCCCTACTGAATGGAGTCATTGAGGTCTTCTTTCCAAACTCAGGCACACACCATACCTATATATTATCCCTCTTGGAAGTAATCAGAATGCGACGTGCTTGCTTGCGTACTTTTAAAAATAGGTCTCCCAATTTAGCTTGGATTACTGTGAAGCCACTCTGAAACCGTGGGATGAAAACCCCCACCCACCAGCAGGGACCTCTCATGAATTCATAAGACAGGGGGGATAGCTCAATCGGTAGAGCATGGGACTCTTCATCTCAGGGTTGTGGGTTTGAGCCCCACATTGGACAAAAACGATCCCTGCATTGCAAGGGGTTGGACTAAAGACCCTTGCGGTCCCTTCTAACTCTACAATTCTGCATATCTATGATTGGCGCTGTGGGTTAAACCACAGAGCCTAGGACTTGCCGATCAGAAGGTCGGCAGTTCAAATCCCCACGACGGGGTGAGCTCCCGTTGCTCGGTCTCTGCTCCTGCCAACCTAGCAGTTTGAAAGCACGTCAAAGTGCAAGTAGATAAATAGGTACCGCTCTGGCGGGAAGGTAAACGGCGTTTCCATGCGCTGCTCTGGTTCGCCAGAAGTGGCTTAGTCATGCTGGCCACATGACCCGGAAGCTGCACGCCGGCTCCCTCAGCCAATAAAGTGAGATGAGCGCCGCAACCCCAGAGTTGGTCACAACTGGACCTAACGGTCAGGAGTACCTTTACCTTTTACCTTTATGATTCTAAGAGCCTGGCTCCTAGGTTAGACCAAAAGGGACCAGTCTAATTCAGCATCCTGTTTTCACAGTAGCCAAGCAGATGTCTCTTGGAAGCCCATAACTGCAATGGTACCCTTGTTCCCACATCATCTCTTCAGCTGTATCATCACCACTGCCGCCATGATCTTTCTCAGCCAAAAGATTGCCAGAGCACTGCATGGGTTATACCGTATTGGCCTGAATATAAGCCTCATTTCCAAATTCTGACCGTGAAAAGTTCAAGTATGGCTTAAATTCACGACCTTACCAAAATTGGCTTTTACAATATCGCTGCTGAAACAGACATACGGTAAAACAGAACGGGTGTGAGTGCCTGTGGAATTTTAAGGGAGCGGCTTATATTTGGGTATTGTCTTTTTGTCTCCCCCCCTTGAATTTTATATTATATTTGGGCCAATACGGTATATACAAACAACAAAAAAACAAAAAAGTGGTCATCTCAACTTGCCTCATGTGTGGGTTGGCTTCGTTTCCAAGTCCCTATGTATAGGATTGCCGAAGTATGTAAATGCCTTGGCTGAGATTTTGCCTATTTAGTTTTCTTTCAGAGATTTCGGCACCCTAAGCATATATGGTGCTACTCCCATTGTAAAACCATCTCTAGTTAGGCCTGAGATTGCAAACAGTAATTGCCGGTCAGAGCAGGCGATATCAGGCCAAAGTTTGGCCGTGAGAAATAGGGGCTTTGTACTGACTGATACGCCACTAAGCAGTTTGTGCCTAGCAGGGCAGTCAAGCGATTAAGTAATTTATGCTCAATGAAGCACCTGCTTTCAGAAACAGATCCACCTCTCATTTCTCCTCCTCACAGAATACTAGAATTTGGGATTAACATTCCATGAAATTGGGTGGCATTCGGTTCAGGATGAAGATACTTCTCCATGCAGTGTAGGAATAACTTCTGGAATTCATGGACACAAGAAGCTCGACCATTATGGTACTTTGCAACATGTTTATAGGGAGGGTTGCTTTTCTGTAATTGAAAATACATACATAGGCTTCCTGGTAGCTCGTGGAGCAGTCACCACTAATAATAGTGGCTGCATTAGTGCAGACGTGGGCAAGCTTCCTGAATCTATTTTGTTGCCACAGAGCCTTGGGCTTGGTGATCGGAAGGTTGGCGGTTCGAATCCCGGCGACGGGGTGAGCTCCCGTTGCTCAGTCCCTGCTCCTGCCAACCTAGCAGTTCGAAAGCACGTCAAAGTGCAAGTAGATAAACAGGCACCACTCCGGCGGGAAGGTAAACGGCATTTCCGTGCGCTGCTCTGGCTCGCCAGAAGTGGCTTACTCATGCTGGCCACATGACCTGGAAGCTGTACGCCGGCTCTATCAGCCAATAAAGCCAGATGAGCGCTGCAACCCCAGAGTCATCCGCGACTGGACCTAACGGTCAGGGGTCCCTTTACGTACCGGAACCTAAGACCTACCAGTCAAAGCCAGCTGACATATAGTTGGAATAAAAGACCAGAGTGCCTCTGAGTATACCGTATTTTTCTTTGTATAAGATGCCTCCATGTATAAGATGCCCCCTATTTTTGGGGACTAAATGGCCCAAAGGTGTTGAGCTTTTTAAAGGGGGAATTGCACGCGCGCCATCACCCCAGCAGGGTTGTTGCTGGGGGCTCGCTCAGCTGCTCCCCCCACACCACTGCGGGTGGGAAACGCTCCCTAGAGCATGTGCCACCAACCAGCTGGCTGGCGGGCATGCAGCTTCCCCACCACACCAACATCTGTGTATAGGACGACCTATACACCGCAACCCCAGAGTCGGCCACGACTGGACCTAATGGGTCCCTTTACCTTTACCTTACCTTACCCATAATAGTACACAGGATTCCAAATGCAGCTGCGTCATAGATTTGTATAACGGCATTATGATATTGGCAGTTTTATCTTCAATTCCTTTCCTAATAACCCCTGGCACGGAATCTGCCTTTTTCACAGCTGCTGCCCGCTGGGTCAACATCTTCACTGAGTTATCAATTCTGACCACCAAGGTCTCACTCCTGCTCAGTCACTGCTAATTAAAGCCCAATGTGAAATTAAGTTTTTTTTTTCTTTAGGCCTCAACACACATCACTTTACACTTGTTTACACTGAGTTGCATTTGCCATTTTAGCACTCATTCACTCAGTTTGGAGTGAATTCTGGGATTAATTACAATCCCTTTTTGCTTCAAAGACCTCGAATAGTTTGGTATCACTAGCAAACTTGGTCTGTTTACTGTGCTCTAGATGGTTTATGAACAAGTTAAAAAGCCTAGATCCCAAAACTGATCCTTTGGGGGATGACTCCTCTTTCTTTCTTTCTTTCTTTCTTTCTTTCTTTCTTTCTTTCTTTCTTTCTTTCTTTCTTTCTTTCTCTCTCTCTCTCTCTCTCTCTCTCTCTTTCTTTCTTTCTTTCTTTCTTTCTTTCTTTCTTTCTTTCCAATTTCTGATCCACAAGAGGACCTCTCCTCTTATTCCATGACTGCTAAGCTTACTCCAGAGTCTTTGGTGAGGTACCTTATCAAAAGCTTTCTGAAAGTGCAAGTACACTATGTCAACTGGATCATCTTTATCTATATGTTTGTTGACACTCTCAAAGCATGCTAACAGGCTAGTGAAATAGAACTTACCTTTGTAGAAGCCATGCTGCTTCTGCAAGGCTTGTTCTTCCATGTTTGGTTATTTTATCTTTAACAACACTTTTCACCAGTTTTCCTAGGACAGATGTTAAGTTAGTAAAGGTAAAGGGACCCCTGACCATTAGGTCTAGTCGTGGCCGACTCTGGGGTTGCGGCACTCATCTTGCTTTACTGGCCGAGGGAGCCGGTGTACAGCTTCTGGGTCATGTGGCCAGCATGACTAAGCCGCTTCTGGAGAACCAGAGCAGCACACAGAAACGCCATTAAGCTTCCCGCTGGAGTGGTACCTATTTATCTAATTGCACTTTGACGTGCTTTTGAACTGCTAGGTTGGCAGGAGCAGGGACCGAGCAACGGGAGCTCACCCCGTCATGGGGATTCGAACCGCCGACCTTCTGATCGGCAAGTCCTAGGCTCTGTGGTTTAACCTACAGTGCCACCCCCATCCCGATGTTAAGTTAGCTGGTCTTTAATTTCCAGGAACCCCCTGGATCCCTTTATTTAAAAAATGATGTTAACACCGGCCACTCTGCAGTCTATTTATTTAGATGATTTATATACCACCCCTTACAGAAGCCATACAGCAGTTTACAACAAGGCAAATGAATAAAAATCCGTAAACTAACACAATCCTTTAAAAACATATAGCAACAAACAATTGAATAACAATCACTGACAGCAACAGCAGAAATTGGGTCTATCCATCTCCAAACACCCACTTAAAACATGTGTCTTAATTAGCTGCCTAAAACTATAGAGTAGGGAAGGTATTCCACACACAAGGAGACTCCACTGAAAATGTCCTTTCTATGACCCCTTTCATCACGTACCTCATACTGAAGAGGGACCACCAGGATCTTACAGCATGGGCAGGTCAACATGGAAGAAAGCACCCTTGTAGATATTTGGCTACCAGAACTAAACTGATCTCATAGTCCTTTCACACAAAAGTCCACTTCTAGTTCACTTTCTCCATTTCAGCAACTTAATTTAAGTGGAAATAGTTGCTTTGTTGTTTAAGGAAGCATGAGTCAGAAACCTTGGCTGATCTAGTCTTGTTTTATACTCAGAAAGCCTCAGTCTGAATGTTTGTTTTCAGTTAAAGGTGTGCTCCAAACAAGGATTAGTTGACTAAGGTTAACCTCTGCTGTGGCATAGAAACTCCATATGCTAACATGTTCTCCTAGAAGATCTTGACCTACCTTCTTGACACCACTGCTGTCTATAGTCCTATAATGTTTTATTTAGTTAGAGTGATCTCCCTCTCTCCCTCTGTTTAGGTCATACTCTCTAAGCGAAAACAAGAAAACAATATAAAGATTCAAGAACAGTAGCAATGTACACAGAGCCACCTGAACATCTGAGCAACTAAAGATGGTCTTCAGATGGTCATCCAGAGGACATCAGACAGTGCCAGGTGAGCCTTTCTGAGAAGGATATTTAAGAATCGAGGCACCACAACTAAAAAGGCCCTGTTGTCGGTCACTGCCTGCCTCGCTTCTGAAGGTGACAGGGAAAGGAGGAACCTAGGGGAGACTGCACTGGGGTGGAGATCCTGTGGCATTGCAGATGCTGTTGGACTCCAACTCTCATCAGCCTTCAGCCACCATGGCAGCCAGGGATGATGGGAGTTGTAGTTCAGTAACATCCGGAGGGTCACAGGTTCCCAACCCATGTCTCAAAATGATGCTCAGAAAGAGATAACGTGTTTATGACCTGTAATGTGTCTGCTTCCATGTCTTGTGAAATAGCATGCCCTGGGTGAACCGCAATGACCAGATAATGGTACAATATCTTTCTGCCTCCAAAGAAAGTGTTCGGTTAAAATGCAATGGGGATAAATGGGATCATAATATGTTTTCTCTCTTGTGAGCCTATCAGAGGCAGGCAGGGATGAAATGCTAGCACTATTTATATCAAAGCAGAGGCAATGATTTTGTTTTCTGGGTGTTATTTGTCAATCTTCTGTGGGAATGTTCAGGGAGGCAGGAGAGTATATATACTGTTTATTAATATCCTTCCTAACTTGCACTAGCAAGTTCTTTTACTTAGCAGAGTTTTACATTCCCCTTTTAAATGCACAGTGGATAGCTGGTTGCAGGCTTGTGTAAGCCTCTCACTATTAGGTTCCTGGTAAGTTCCCTTATATCCCTCTTAAACGAATAAACACGCCACAATCTTGTTTAAAGTATATAAAAGAAGTTTACTCACATCAGTTCACAGATGGATCCCTGAAGGCAGACTTAGTTACAGATATATACATGTGGATCTATCCCTTATGGGGATAATCCCAGTGTCCTCTGTTGGTTGAAAGTCAACAGGGCATTTCTAGCTAAAAAGCTGCTCTAATGATGGAGGAAGTCAAAGAGAGAGAATGTGGTGCGTGACTTGTCCTTTTGTTACCTGAACAGGTGAGGTCACGCCCACATTCAGTCACATGCAAAGGAAGGATGTTCCAGCCAGGAGGAAACAGAAAGTTTTCGACTGGCTGGACCAAACATTCCCCTGCATGTCCACTCTAGGAAAACAAAGAATGTTGTACTTGACTGCTTCTTAAACTAGCATGCTTGGCTAGGGGTTAAACCAAACCTGTTATTTTGAAAACTCCAAAAGTCCCTTTACGATGACCACACAAAATGCCACACAAAAGTGAGCAAGCTTTTGAGTCCAGCAGAAGCGCGAATGGAATGGAATTGAAGTGAATGGAGCCTGGTGTGCTGAAGAGGTTTGGGGATTTCTCATCTCCCACCCCACACCTTAAATATTCTGGGTTTGAACTCTTTGGGTTTCAGTAGATGTGAAAGAAGAAGATGGACAGCTTGCTCCTTGCTCCTCCTCATTGCCTGCTTTCCTGGAGATGTCCTACTGAACTCAGCGGGACTCCCTTCTGAAGAGCATGCAGTTCTCCTCCCACAGAAGCCAAATGACCACCCCACATCCATGAATGGAGCCAGGAGGGCGTTCTAAAAAATCTTAAAGGAATTTACTCAACCACACCGGCTGTATAGTCAGCATTTGTGCTTATTCTTCCACTGGTACTTTTGCCTCTGTCTTACTTCCTTCGATTACTCGCCCTGCCTTCTCCAGAGAAAGGGCCGCAGTTCAGAGGTAGGGCACCTGGCTTTGCACACAGAAATATTCCAAATTCAATTCCCAGTATCCTCCAGGTAGGGCTGGGAGATGCACTTGCAGAGCTGCTACCATTCCGTGTAGACAATACTTAGCTTGATGGCCCAAGAGTCTGACTCAGTATAAGGCAGCATCCTATGTTCAGGGCCGGCCCACCCATTTGGCAAGGTGAGGCAAGTGCCTCAGGTGGCAGAATTCACTGGGGCAGCAGACCCCGGTGTAGATATTTATTTCCTGCTTCTTCCAGGTGTAGTTCTTCATTCATCCCTTCTCCCCTGGTGGGGAAGAAGGCACCATTTTGCGGTTCACCTCGGGTACCAAAACGTCTTGGGCTGGCTAATTTAGATTGTAAGCTCCTGCAGGCAGAGACATGTTTGCCATATTTCTCTGTCAAACGCCCAGTAGTGGAAAATAGTGGTGACGACCATGAACTCCAAATTGTTGCAACGTCCATGTGTTGCTTATTAAATCCATGCAGATGAAGAATCGGGAGAGAAAAGGAGATCTGGTATATTTCCCGCCAGCTTACAATCCGGGAGCCGCATTTCATCGGGGCCTTTGATTTATAGCTCTCCAAACCCCCATCTTCCCCAGGAGCCCATCTTTCTGGAGAGGGTCACACAGGGCTGAGAACCCGCCTCCCCCTCCCGGCTGGCTTGAAGTGCCCCCGCAGACTGGCCGTTTTATTTGGCTTTGAAAGCCCAACAGCTGCAAATCAGGCGCTTTCCCCGACCCTCGCCCAGCGCCTCTCCCCTTTCTCTCCCGCTTCTCCCTTTCCCAAGGAATCCGAGAAGACCTGCGTTTAATGAAACGTGAAGTGTGAAAACTTCCTGAGCTGCAGAGGCGACTCCTTAATGATGTTCCCAGATGTGGCGGGGCTGGAGAATGGGGTGAAGGCGCGCAGAGGCGCCTGCCGGAGAGGGAGAACCTCACCTTGCCGCGGGCACCGCTAGGGCCCGGGTAATGGGGGGGGGGGAAAGAGCTCTCCAAGCCGCGCGTAATTACGCACCGCAGAGATTCTGCCCTTGCGATGGGCGGCTTCCACCTCGCTCTGGAAAACAACCCGTCCTTGTTATCTTCTTCTTTTTTTTTAATTATTATTTCTTTTCGCGCTGGGGACTTGTTTCATGGGGCTGAGGGGAGGGGAAGAGTCCGATCACTTGTTTAGAAAACGAAAAAGCGGGGGGGGGGGAGGGGGAGCAGGCTGCCAGCACCTCCGAGCTATTCCGGTGAAATTCAATTTGCACTGAATTCTAAAGATCCTCTCGCTGATTCTCTTCCAGGCTGTTACGCGCCGCAAAGACAGCTTGGAGGAACAGCCCACAAGGCAAAGCTGAAACTCCTTCCCTACCACAAAAATACTTTGTATTGGACTTTGTGGCTGGAAATAATTTCACTGGGTGCCCACCGGATACCCGAGCGGTTGCAGGGAGAATGGGGCTTTGGTAATCCTGGTCCCTAGTTAATTCTGAGAGGGTGTTTTTCGGTTTCCCATGTGAGGGACAGAAAGGATGAAATTTCCACCCTATCTGACACAGCCTCATAGAATCATAGAGTTGGAATAGACCACAAGGGCCATCGAGTCCAACCCCCTGCCAAGCAGGAAACACCTTCAGAGCACTCCTGACATATGGTTGTCAAGCCTCTGCTTAAAGACCTCCAAAGAAGGAGACTCCACCACACTCCTTGGCAGCAAATTCCACTGTTGAACAGCTCTTACTGTCAGGAAGTTCTTCCTAATGTTTAGGTGGAATCTTCTTTCTTGTAGTTTGGATCCATTGCTCCGTGTCCGCTTCTCTGGAGCAGCAGAAAACAACCTTTCTCCCTCCTCTATATGACATCCTTTTATATATTTGAACATGGCTATCATATCACCCCTTAACCTCCTCTTCTCCAGGCTGAACATGCCCAGCTCCCTTAGCCGTTCCCAGTGGCGTAGCGTGGGGGGTGCAGGGAGGCCGGCCGCACTGGGCGCAACATCAGGGGGGGCACTCGCACTCAAGTGCTAAAATCCATGGGTTAGGGGGCGCAAATTACTTGCCTTGCCCCGGGTGCTGACAACCCACGCTACGCCACTGGCCGTTCCTCATAAGGCATCGTTTCCAGACCTTTGACCATTTTGGTTGCCCTCCTCTGGACACGTTCCAGTTTGTCAGCTTCAGATTTTATATTTCCCAGCTCGATTCACTTAGAATTTCCTAAGCAAATTATCTGTAAAATCATCAGGTGTGGAAGATAAAAGAGACAAAGACTGTCAGAAAGGGTGGGTGTCCTGGGGTGATTTGGGGGTACCTGCGTGTGAAGATTCAAAGCCCTGCTCTCTGATATAAGCATAATTAAAACACAAGTATTTCTTTCTTTCTTTTAAACCAGCAAAACCACTTTTGAAAAGAGTGTGGGTTGCTGTTACTTTTTATACCACACACAAACAACAGCAATGTTTACAACACAGGTCAAGTAGTCATCTTTTAAATTAAATTAAATTAATGGTGGCTTTTTTTGTTTTGTTTTTGTTTTTTTGAAGCAAAGGGACTTGTGGAGTTGGCACACATACCTAGCAGACATGCCTAATTGTTTCTTGTTTTGTTTTACAGTATTTCAGTGTGTAAAAACAGCAGGTTAAGGAGGGGTACCCAAAGAAAGAAGAATACTGTATTAGAAACACTATTGATGGTGGTGGGAGATGACTTACCCCCCTCCCATCTGCAAGTCATCCTCCTGGCTACTGCACAACTCCAGACTAGATGTTTACTCATGAGCAAGTCTCACTGGATTCAATGATGTTTATGTACCAAATGTAATATAAATGATTGCAGCCCATAGGAGTTTATTTTTATTTATTTATTTAAAAATGAATGTGAAGTTTAACCGAAACCCCTCCAGATCATTTTGTGTGTGTGTGTGTGTGTGTGTGTGTGTGTGTTGAGTGCCAGAAGCTGTTTTCTTGTCACAGGATGTCCTTCGCTCTGCTGTTCATTTTCTGTAACAACAACAACTTTTCGCAAGTTCTTAGAACTTGCGAAAATGACTGGGAGAATAAGAGGATACTCAAACCAGAGTGTGTGTAAAGAATAAAGGTAAAGGTAAAGGGACCCCTGACCATTAGGTTCAGTCGTGACCGACTCTGGGGTTGTGGCGCTCATCTCGCTTTACTGGCCGAGGGAGCCGGCGTATAGCTTCTGGGTCATGTGGCCAGCATGACTAAGCCGCTTCTGGCGAACCAGAGCAGCGCATGGAAACACCGTTTACCCTCCTGCTGGAGCGGTACCTATTTATCTACTTGCACTTTGACATGATTTTGAACTGCTAAGTTGGCAGGAGCTCACCCTGTTGCAGGGATTCGAACTGCCGACCTTCTGATCGGCAAGTCCTAGGCTCTGTGGTTTAACCCACAGCGCCACCCGCGTCGTGTAAAGAATGGATAATATTTAAAGAATATCTAAAACAATATTGTGAAAATGCAAATCTCCTGACAGGTCTAGATTGAATCTTGAATATTAAGGAAAACTATAAATGCAGAAAATTTTCTGGATATTTAACAGATACTGTATAACAGGAAAAGGGTAAAGGTTAAGAATATGTAGAAAGCACAATGAGGTTACAGATTCTGCTAATCTGGAAGTAGTACCTCGGGTTAATAACTTTACTTCAGGATGAGAACAGAAATCGTGCTCTGGCGGCGCGGCAGCAGCGGGAAGCCCTGTTAGCTAAAGTGGTACCTCAGGTTAAGAACAGTTTCAGGTTAAGAACGGACGTCCGGAATGAATTAAGTTCTTAACCAGAGGTACCACTGTAGTTGTTTATTTCCTTGACATCTGATGGGAGGACGATCCACTACGGAGAAGGCCCTCAGCCCTGGCCACACACTTTGCTAGTTGTGTCAGGCAGATGTTTGGAGTCTGTTGACATCTGGAGGGAAGGCCACAGGTCCTTCCACACCTGGCCTGGTACACACCGACTCCAAGTTGCAGCCTGAGATACACGACACACCCCTGTGCAGGAAGGTGTCTTTTCTGTGGGACTCAAAGCAGCTCTATCAATGCCACAGGCAGAAATAACCACCAGGGACTGAGAAGGACGCCTTCCTTTCCTGAAGAACGAAAGGAATCCTCTGTGGATATGTTTTTGAAGGTTACGCCTTCCCCTCCCTCCTTGAAAAAGAAGCTCCCCTGTTAGTTCACATCTTCAATGACCCTCACCCCTTCGTGGTCCTTCAACAACATATATATAAAATACTTGCTTTCCCTTTCCTGCCTCCTCTAAAGGACCCCCCCCCCCCAAATCTGTAGACAATTTTAAGCAATCCCAATTGCTTCCACCTCCTCCAGTCTGCAGCATGCAGAATCTCCTATGACAGTGGAGTGGGTGTGTGTGTGTGTGTGTGTGTGTGTGTGTGGAGTAAATAAATGGTCCTGTTTCAATACACATGAATATATAATATATATTTCATTGCATACATACATAGGGAGAGAAAGGCGGGGTGGGAAAGCGAGCCATTTAACTCCCAAATAGACCTCCGGTATCTCCCCGACTGACGGTGGATTCCCATATACAGCCAGTCACTCAGCCCTCCTTATCTTCATGTATGACTGCCTTGTGTTTAACACACAATTACATTTTCTCCCTCCAATTCCATTACAAATGGAATAAGGGAAGCATTGTTTGAAGAAATGTACTGCTTCAGCTCTGGTTATGTCAAGCAATTCGCCGAGCAGGTGAGCAGGAGAGAGAGAGAGGAGAGGAGGAGGAAGAGAAGAACAACATTTCCCCCCCAATACAAAAAGAACCTGGTAGATTCAAAAGAGTAAATAATACAGAATATTACACTGAAAGGGCCTTCGTATCATCCTTTCGGTTTTATTTACTGTAAACAATGTGCTGTATTTTTTTACCGTTTTTTTTGGGGGGGGGTGGGGAGAAGGAGGAAAGGAGCTCTCTGGGAAAGAGAATTTATTTTTTATAAGCATTCCTTATCATGATTACATTGACAGAATCCTTTTGACTTCTGTGTTGCATAGATATGATGTCATGAAGTGACGCTTGCTGTTATGTTGCAAGCTGCTCTGTGGTCTTCCGATGAAAGGGGGTATGCAAGCCCCCCCCCAAAAATTTGCTACCACTACTATTACCACTAATAATAACAGAACGAGAAGAAGGCCCTGCAAAAAAAGAAGATAATAAATAATGGAAAATTAATGAATTGCATCAAACTATTGACTAACTACCTCGCTCCGCTGTAATTCATTTAGAGGATATTAAAACCAGAAGAACAATAATAAAAGCCTGCCAGCCCACCCCCCCACCCCCCGCAGAAGGCGATGGCCAGCAAATTGGATAGTTCCCTTAATCTGGCGTAAATAATATCAGGCTTCCTCCTCTCTCTGGCCAATTCTCCCTATCATTTAGAGAAGGCTCAGAAGCCAGGCTTCATAATTGATATCGGTTACTCTGTGAGGACTCCCTCCCTCCACCTGCTCACGTCCTTTGAAACAATTTCAAAGTTTCCCTTTGGATTTGGGTACAGGGATTTTTTGAGGGGTTGGGGGGGGAGGAAGGCAGATAGTTCGGCCATTGTTTTGCTGTCTCCGTTAGCAAAACCATTCTAAATAAAATGCAAGGCCAAGCAAGCAGGTACAGTGGTACCTTGGGTTAAGAACTTAATTCATTCTGGAGGTCCGTTCTTAACCTGAAACTGTTCTTAACCTGAAGCACCACTTTAGCTAATGGGGCCTCCCGCTGCCACCGCACCCCACCATGTAATTTCTGTTCCTGAAGCAAAGTTTTTTACCCAAGGTGCTATTTCTGGGTTAGCGGAGTCTGTAACCTGAAGTGTCTGTAACAACAACAACAATTTATTATTTATACCCCGCCCATCTGGCTGGGCTTCCCTAGCCACTCTGGGCGGCTTTCAACAGAATATTAAAATACAATAATCTATTTAACATTAAAAGCTTTCCTAAACAGGGCTGCCTTCAGATGTCTTCTTAAAGTCTGGTAGTTGTTTTTCTCTTTGACATCTGGTAGGAGGGCGTTCCACAGGGCGGGTGCCACTACCGAGAAGGCCCTCTGCCTGGTTCCCTGTAACTTGGCTTCTTGCAGGGAGGGAAGCGCCAGAAGGCCCTCAGCGCTAGACCTCAGTGTCCGGGCAGAACGATGGGGGTGGGGACGCTCCTTCAGGTATACTGGACCATTTAGGGCTTTCAAGGTTAGCACCAACACTTTGAATTGTGCTCGGAAACGTACTGGGAGCCAATGTAGGTCTTTCAAGACTGGTGTTATGTGGTCTCGATGACCGCTCTCAGTCAGTCTAGCTGCTACATTCTGGATTAGTTGTAGTTTCCAGGTCACCTTCAAAGGTAGCCCCACATAGAGCGCATTGGGATAATGTGTAACCTGAAGCGTCTGTAACCCGAGGTACCACTGTATTGACTGGTGCTTAAACAAGGTCAGCACACAATCACAATCAGCAAGTGAGCAAATCAGCACACAATAATCCAGGGTTTTTGGACTACAACTCCCATCACCCTTAGCTAGCAGGGCCAGTGGCCAGGGATGATGAGACTTGTAGTCCAAGGCTGCTGGAGTCCCTGCATAGTCTATATGTATTAAGCTGCTTTACGTGGAGCCTGTCACACATTTGGATGGCCAAACACCTGCGTGGTCTTCTGCTAGTTTTCTGGAAGTGAATGAATGAATGATGAATGAATGAATGAATGATAATAAATCCTAGGAGGCCATGCTTCTTTCTTTTTTATACATTTTTTATTTATGCTGCTCAGGTTTATACAATTCACTAATTTTACAATGACTTTAACATTCCAAAACTTGACTTCCTTCCCCCTCTTTCTGTGGTTCCATAAGTTTGTTTTTAATATATTCTGCATATCCAGATTCACTTAATTTGCTTATTTATTCATCTGCTTCAAATATATACTCTTAGCAAACTGTAGGCTATTACAATAATCCTGCCAATGTTCTTATCTGTTTACAATTTATCTGTAAATATTCAATAAACCATTTCCATTCTTTTATAAAAAGAAGTTCGTTATCTTGATCTCTTATTCTTCCAGTAAGTTTCACCATTTCTGCATATTCCATAAGTTTTTATATCCATTCTTCCTTTGCTGGGACTTCTGCTTCTTTCCATTTAGGCCATGAGCTGCTTCTAATCTTGACCGTGTCATAAAATCTCTAGATGTCCTTCAGGCAAGCTACTCCCTCTCAGCCTTCCGATCTGCAGTATGGGGGTAATAGTAGTAGTGATTCATCTTAGAGGATTACTGCAAGGATTTAGCTTATTCAGTGGCATTACATTTTGCATATTTATTTTCCATTTCTGCCCACCAGGATCCCGAAGATTACTCTCTGTGTGCTTCGTTAAGTTATACTACTGTTTTGAACACTCAAAAAGCACAGTATCAGGAGAAACTTCCCAAGCGGGTTGTTGACCTTGCAGGCTCCCCCAGTGGAAGTTGTGTAACTTGCAAATTCAGTATATTAGGAGAAGCTGTAAAGGTAAAGGGACCCCTGACCATTAGGTCCAGTCGTGGCCGACTCTGGGGTTGCGGCGCTCATTTCACTTTACTGGCCGAGGGAGCCGGCATACAGCTTCCGGGTCATGTGGCCAGCATGACTAAGCCGCTTCTGGCGAACCAGAGCAGTGCACGGAAACTCCGTTTACCTTCCCGCTGGAGTGGTACCTATTTATCTACTTGCACGTTGACGTGCTTTCGAACTGCTAGGTTGGCAGGAGCTGGGACCGAGCAACGGGAGCTCACCCCGTTACGGGGATTTGACCCGCCAACCTTCTGATCGGCAAG